TAGAACATTCTCCCCTTTCAGGTTTCAAACTGCATCAAAATTTGCCCCTCCATAATTCATAACCTGTTCTTGGGCTCTCCTCATCAGAGAGGGAACAGATCTGAACCTTAAGAATACTTTTATTATGTGGTAGCTTACATTAAATAGATTCTTGTGACAGACCACTTTTTTTTTGCTTGTATCTTCAGATAGAGCAGGAGGGAGAGAAGGAGGAAGAGAGAGAGAGAAAGATCTATGTGAGAGAGACACATTGAGTGGCTGCCACACACACAACCCCAACCCAGGCCGGGGACAAACTGAGGTACGTGCCCTTAGTGGGAACCGAACCCAGGTCTCTCTGGTCCGCGGATCGCAGCTCTAACTGCTGAGTCAAACAGGCCAGGCTTGTAACCTACATTATTAAGAACAAAGAACTAGATTTGCACTGTGGCATCTTGGTCATTACTTAGGTCTAGCTCTTCATTTTATAGATAATAAAAACGAAAGTAGAAGCAGTGTGAGGTAGGAGCAACAGCATGACATTTGGTATCAAAGAACCTGAGATCCAGGTGCAAGTGAGCATGCAAGCAACTTAGCCTCTCTGAACTTCCAATGTCCTCATCTGTAAAATGAGGGTTAACTCCTACCTCATGGTGATGGTTAAGGATAAATAAGGGTAAAATGAGATAACATCTGGAAAATGTATAAAGTGCTACTATACAGTGTCATTTATCACTAGGCTATTCTGACCTGCTCCAAGTCACAAAAGCTAGTTAGTGGCAGAATTACAATAAGAGTTCAAGTTTCCTAACTCCTAGTCCAGTACAGCTTGTGTCATGAATCTAGGCTTCCAATCCCCTATTCAGGGCCAACTTATTCTTGAATCCAGTTCAAAGCCTTTTAACCTTTGTAAGTCTGGGGACCACTTTCAGAATTTGATGAAAACCACAGTCCCTCTACCTCCATCAAAGAGTGTGTGTGTGTGTGTGTGTGTGTGTGTGTGTGTGTGAACACAAAGCTCCTACAGCTCATCCACAGGTCCCAGGCTTAAGAACCACTGATATGACTCATGTACTCTCAGCAATTTTTATTACCTATTTTCATGCGTAGTAATTCATGCCTTGGTGGTCTTAACTAAGAGGTTGGATCCAAGCAAACACCATGCAAAGAGGTTGTTTAACTAAGAGGTTGGATCCAAGCAAAGAGTAGAATTCAGGAATCTGAATTAAAAATACTGCCCCCAGATCACCATGCTGACTAGGTGAGGTCTTTAATTAACCACATTCAATCACAATCAGGAAAGTAAAGGCAAAAGTTTCCATACTCAAAGGCAGAAAGCTCAGGAAAAAAAGTAGACAGGATGATCAGATTATTTTTATCATGTTGCTGTGCTATATACAAGCCATTCAGATGAGTTTACACGATCATTTTCAAATAGCCACCTAGAGGCACCAAGAGAAAATAAGCTCAAAACGTTTGTGATGAAATTTCTGCTCCCAACCTCACACCCATCAAGATTAACTTCAGCCCTGGCCGGTTTGGCTCAGCGGTTAGAGCGTCGGCCTGCAGTCCGGAGAGACCCGGGTTCGGTTCCCGCTAAGGGCATGTACCGCGGTTGCAGTTTGTCCCCGGCCCTGGTTGGTCGTGCGGGTGGCAGCCACTCGATGTGTCCCTTTCCCATCGATGTTTCTCTCTCTCTCTCTCTTCCTCTCTCTCCCTCCCACTCTATCTGTGCAAAAAAAAAAAGATTAACTTCAGACCAGATTATTTAAAAATGATTCTATCCTCCCCTACCTTACTTTGGCCAAGTAACACACTATATGTAAAAATAACCTGGCTAGGAAAAAGAAAAATCAGTATTACATCTCTGGGGAGATCAATATCAAGTACTGAATGCGGTATCATTAATCCACTGTTGTCCTGCTATACCTCAATATCCTCATCTGAAAAATGAAAATAACCAGTCTGTGACACAAATACATTGTGAGAATATTTGGTAATCTCTAAACTTGTTAACAATTAATAGCTTTTAACCCTGAGTGGTGGAATTCAATGTTAACTGTTAACAACTTTTAACTCTTAAGTGGTGGGATTATGATGACTTTAATTCTCTTACCTAAGTTTTTCTTTAATTTTCAAGTTTTATGTAACATTTATGTATTATTTTTAAAACCAGAAATTTACCTATACATTACCTATACAGCATTACCTATACATTCAGACTTTTGAACTGATGATTACAGAACCCCAATTTGGGGGGTGGGCAGCAACATAAAAAACCTAAACATATCCCCAAAACAAGAATCAAGTGTTTTGAAAAATTCCTGAACATTCAAGGTTGATTAACAGAAAAAGTTTTTTCTTACATGCAAAAATAATATCCATGCTTTGGGGACCAGTTCTCCAAGTGGGAGGTCTTGACCTCTTGCAGACTGCAGCATGAATCCTCCCAGCCCTTCACTTTCTAAAAGACCACTTCACTTTAAACAGAATTCAAGTCCTTGAGGATTCTGCTTCCTAAATTTTCTACAAATCCACGGGTTCAGCTTGGTGGTCCTGGGGTAAAATGAGATCTTTCCCACCAGTGAAAACTGGCTACCTAAAGAAGCTGATATCTAACTTCTACCAGTTGGTATTAAAGTTGCCATAAATTAAGATTGTAGGGGCTTTTCAGCTGGCCTAACAAAGTACAACTCAGCACTGGAATTTTATTTTATTTTAATGTTTTATTTAAAGAAGGGTCTTTTCCACTTATTATAAACTCTTAACCAAGGGACTGTTTCTCAAACTGTCAGGTCAATAAACTATTAGATTAAAATACCACCTAAGCAAAATAAAAATAAATGTATTTATACTGAATCAAAATTCATAGTGTTTTTGATGAGTTCTGCACTGTCACTGAGTTGAACTTGTTAGAAGCCTAAAAATAAATTTAAGTACCAGAAATTTTAAGTTAAACTTTACATTAACCATTTCAAAACACACTCTACATGAACATGAGAAATGAGGATTATACATGAACTGCAGAGTAAAAAGTCACTATCCCTTGTTATCCATCTACTATCTCCAAATAAAAAAAAGGTATGAGCAGTTATCCAGAGTCCAAATATTCATTCCTGTTGCATGTTATTTCAAATACCACACTTGGACCAACAACAACAAAGTGCCACTTCCCAAAAAGAGTCATCTCAAATAGCCTCGTGACTCACCGGTAACTGATTTCTCATTTGTTATAACACAAATTTGACCTCTTTGATCAGCTTACATTTCCTTTAGGAATTAAACCAGCTAATACTTAGAAACCACAGTTTATTTCTTAGAATATAAGACAAGCTACTTATAGAGGACTCTAGATATCTGTAACAATTTAAAGCAAAATTAGTTACCTCTGTTTTTCCATCAACAAACTGGGGATACATGGATTTTGAAAGATGAGTCTTCCGGCCGTCCGAGAAGGCCCCCCCACCCCGCTTCCCCGCCTGGCTGGGAAGAAAGGGGCTGCGGGCGGCTGCCCAGCGCCCAAGATGGCATCGGGCAGGCACACCCCCACCACGCCACCATTTTGAGCGCCAGGATTTCAGCCGCTCGCGATTTTATACCAACTAACAGAAAACGGGGTTACCAGAAGAACCGCTCAGCCCCTTGATTGTAGCATTCCCAAACCTCTCCTTTCTGCGGCCCTGTTCCTCTCCTTAGGTCCCTACAAAGTCGTCCCACTGAAACTGTGAGTAAAGAGCACGCTTTTTACAGTCACGTTCAAACTTTGAAAATAAACATTACCGTACTACCTAAAATACCCATGTTATTACTTCTTCCTAAAGACAGAAGAGGTACACAATGTAATCACATTGTTTTAATCAGTTTGAGGAACTGAGAATCGCCAAAAGCCAGCTAATGGTCCTAGTGGGTCAGCCCACATTCCTTCTCAGCCTCCCACCCTTTTTTATCTTTTGATTTTCCCGATTTCAGGAACTCTGCATCAAGAAAAGTTCCCACACTTCATTCATGCGAGAAGCAAACGGCATCTGCGCAAGCAACACAGACTCTCAGACCAAAGGTGCGGCAAAAGCTTCGGAGTGAAGGAATTAACATCAGTCCAGAACGGCCGAAAGTGCGACGGTGGGGGCGGGGAGCCAACCGCCGCGATCCGCTCCTCCAAGCGGGTGATTCTTATTTTGATCACTCCCTGGGCGAACTCCAGGGCAGGACGGAAGAGAAAAACGGACCCACAGTTTCCATTTATCTTTTTCCACAGGCAAAAGCGCTAAGTTACAACGCCTATACTCCAGGCGAGCAAGCAATTCAACCTGCCAACCAATCAAATATTTCACACCCCCTTCCAAAAATAAAAGAAAGGAGGATGCTCGCGGGCTCCTGCTGGTGGGGGCGATCTCGTCGCTTCGGCTCCCCACACTCGCGCCACCGGCCCTGCGGCCGGGCGCCTGGCCTGAGCGCGGCGCCCACAAAGCCCGGGTGCGAGAGCACCTCCGGCCTGGCCAGGGAGCCCTCCTCCCGCTCCGCTCGCCCGCTGGGATAATGGTGGCGAAACCGACTCCGGGCGCTCTCGAGGTCCGCGCATAAAGAAGGCGGTCGGTTCCGAGGGGAGAAGCTGGGGAAGAACACCGGAGTCCCAAACTTTCCCTCCGCAGCCCAGCCCCGGAGCTGCGAGCCGGGCCCGAGTTGGCCCAACATGCCGGCCGAGGTGGGGGCGAGCCCCGCCCGCACCCCGTCCCGCCGCAGCAGCTGGCTCGCCGCTTCCACCGCCCCAAGAGGGAGCTCCCGAAGCCGGAGGAGAGCGCGTCCCACTCCCACAAAAGCGAGCTCCCTCCGCCCGCTCCGCCTCGCCCGCCCGCCCGCCTACATCCCGAGCCCGGGCTGCTGCCCGCCGGCCGGTCCGGTCCGCGTGCCCGCCGAGCCCTGCGCTGGGGCGGACGCCTGGCCGCGCCTCGGGCGCCCGCTCCCGTCCGCGCGCAAGCCCGCACGCCGGGGGAGCAGGCGAGGGGCGCCGCGCGGCCACTCACCTCGATCTCGAAGTCGGGCAGGCGGAACGCCGTGCGAAAGAGCGAGCAGAAGTGCGCTATGGCCGGGACTTCCCACCAGGAGCGCAGCTCGCCCAGCCCGGCCGCGCCGCCTTCCTCCGGGCACATCTCCCGGCCGCGGCGGTGGCGGCGGGAGCGCCGGCCCCGAGCTCGACGCGCTCTGCGCGGCCCCACGCTGCCCGCCCGCCCGGACTCCCGCCTCAGCTCCTCGGGCGGGGGCGGGGGCGGCTGCTCCTCCCGCTGCTGCCGCCGCTCGGCGTGTGCATGAGCTGAGGGCGGCGAGCGCGCGGGGGGCGGCGGCCCGGACTCGAGTCACTGAGGCGGCCCCTGCTCCGGCTGCCCGCGGGGTCCCAGCCCTGGCCCCATCCCGCGGCTGCGGCTGCGGCTGCAGGCGCCCCCAGCCCGGTACAATGTAATCGTCTCACAGCCAGCGAAAACAGATGGGGCTGGGGGCGGGGAGGGGGCCGAGCGAGGGCCCGGGGGAGGGGCCGCCACGAGGAGGGGGCGGGGCTGCCCCACCACAACAACAACCCCGCCCCCACCCCTGGCCCCGGACAGCTGCACGGGAAGAGAGGGGGAGGGGAGAGAGAACTGGGCGCCCCAAGAAAGGAGTGTGAGTGGAAGGGAGCGAGGTGCACCCTATGAACTGTTCTGACATGCACTCCGCTTCCCGGGTGTCTGGGACTAAGGAGTTTAATGACTTCGATGAGTAGAGACAATAAGGGTCTCTCTCCCACCCCCCACTTGGCCTTAGTGGTCGCATCCTTTTAAAGGGCCCGCTTGGTAGTGCTTTCCGTAGAGGCTGGATCCAGAAAGACGCACGTGTGGGAGTTCAGTTATTATTGGTGCTGACCAGTGGGCTGTGCACCGCAGAAATCTAAGGCCTAGAGAAATTAAATGGTTTCCACGTGTTCTTTATGACTTTTATTGCATCCAAGGAGCTCTAAGGAGCTCTAAAGTGGCTCTTTTCTCCAAGGGAAGAAGGTGGATGGGGCTGGTGAGGCTGGAACCCAGTAGAATGGAGGCTGGAGTACAGCGGGAAGGGTTGGCACCAATCAGCAGAGGTACGGAACGAGTGATCCCCTACCATCACCCCCGGGAACGGACACGGCTGACCCCCTAAAGAAGACGGACTTGGACACTTGCAACTACCCTGGTTGCAGAAAACCTGCCTGGAAGGTTGTGCACTGTATAGTGAGAAAGCTGGGGGAGGGGAAAAGGGACCTAGCCTGAGGAGTATGCCCTGGTGGGGGGTGGAGACCTGCACGCCTTAGGCTAAGAGAATGCTCCTGGAGAAGGGTGTTGAGGCCTCTACTTTAGAAATGTTTATGTTCTACAATATCAGGATTCTGCTAAGCCTGAAGGGGAAAAAAAAGTCACCAAAACAGACCAGAAATTTGGAAAAACTACTCTGAATGCCCAGACATTTGTACTGATCACTGCAATTTCGTATTTAGTATTGTATTCTACTCAAGTCTCAAAGGGCCTTAGCTGGTTTCTGTATTCCACCTCTCAGACAGGAAACAGTGACCTGATGCTTCCCCCAAATTAATCAAGTACTTATTGAGTGACAGGTACAATCACAAAGTGTATGGTGGTGAAATCAAATATCCTCTTCTACCTTTGAGCAGTGTAGAGTCTGGAGAGAATGGCAAACGTGATGAACATAGATTCTGGAGCCTGGGTACTTTTCTCTCAACTTTCCCTCTCTTTATTCTGGTAGTTTAAATAACCTGTTTTGTTTTTATAAGAGCATTTTTTTTTAAATCCAACTTCTTAAAAAATGTATATTTAAGTGTATCTTTTATGAGTCAACTAACTCAAACTATTTCATCTTCTAATACTCCCTCCATTGAAGCAGCCAAAAAATTCTGCAATTTTGTTCTTTTATTACCTGAAACTATTTGATGATTTAAAATTCATCCTCAAATTCTATCATATATTTTAATCTTTGACAAAAGTCAGCATACACCTAAAGAGCAAAGGCTACAATTTGGTGTGTTTATAAAGTACAGCTACTATGTAGATATCCTATTAATAGATGAGATGTAAAAGGGTGACAGGCCACTGTATAATTAATCACATAACCTAAATTAGATGTTTTCTGAACTTTTTTCCCTGTCTTTCCTCATTTCCTCACAAATCAGTTTGACTTTACACACTTGCCTCTCTTTGATTAAAGGGTTACTGCTTTCCTTCACACTTGTTTCTAATCCATTGCATCCTGACTGTTCTTTCCCCACCTCCCTTTTCCTGATTCTCCTTCTGTCTTCTCATCCTTGCCTTTATCTTTTATCATTGTTTAATCTTTTTTACCTGGCCTCTTAGTTGTCACTACTAGCCAGCTTTGTAATAGTACCTAGAACATTAACAATACTAGAAAGCAGAAAACGGAGAGGTGTTGGTTACTCTAGTATGCTTGAATGCAGGTTACAATCCCCTCACCTCCACATGAAGGCTTCTCTGTTGTCCTCTTCCCGCTAAACCACTGCTTAATCCTGTAAATCAGTGATTTTCAATCTTTTTTTCTTTAATTTTTTTTTTTTCTTTATTGCTTTTGGAGAGAGAGGAAGGGAGAGGGAGAGAGAGATAGAAACATCAATGAGAGAGAACATCGATTGGCTGCCTCCTGCATGCCCGCCACTGGGGATCAGGCCCACAACCTCGGCATGTGCCCTGATCAGGAATCGAACTGGCAACCTCTTGGTGCATGGGTCAATGCTCAACCACTGAGCCACACCAGCTGAGCATCAATCTTTTTCATCTCATGGCACACACAAATTAATTACTAAAATTCTTCGGCACATCAAAAATATATTTTTGCCAATCTGACAAAAATAATAGGTATAATTTTGATTAATTCATAAAAAATAATAATAGTAGTTAATCACCTACCCTTTTTACTCCAAAAAAAAAGCAAGTGCCTAGTGTTTCCCGGCTTGGCTCACCAGTTAGAGTGTTGATCCTCGGACCAATGAGTCTTGGGTTCGATTCCAGTCAAAGGCACGTACCTCAGTTGCGGTTTGTCCCCGGCCCTGGTCGGTCATGCAGGAGCCAACCAGTCGAAGTGCCTCTATCACATTGATGTTTCTGTCTCTCTCCCTCCCTCCCTCCTACTCTATCTAATGATAAATGGAAAAATATCCTAGGGTGAGGAATAAAAAAAAAAATCAAGTGCCTATACTTGTATATAAGAATTTCTGGTACCAACAATTAACCAATCATATGCAACCTTATCATACAACATGACCAATAAGATGCTACTCTGTTATATGACCTATATAGTTATGGTTCAAGACAGGGCATTCGCATGGATGGCTATTGTGTTGGCTGTTATTTTACTTGACAATCTAAGGGAAAAGAGGTCAGTATCCCTGACTATATAGTCAAGTATTGCATGTTTCTTTTTATTATTAAAAAAATTTTTTTTCTTTATTGATTTGAGAGAGAGAGAGAGAGAAACATTGATGAGAGAGAACATTGATTGGCCACCTCCTACATGCCCCCCACTGGGGATTTGGCTCACAACCTGGGCATGTGCCCTGACCGGAATCGAACCAGTGACCTCTGGTGCATGGGTTGACGCTCAACCACTGAGCCATACCAGCTGGGCAAGTATTGCATGTTTTAAAAATTCTTGTGGCACACCAGTGTGCCTCCCTTGGCATGGCACACCAGATGAAAATCGCTGCTGTAAATCAACAAAGCTGTCTTGGAACTGGAGGTGCCCCCCTAGTGGTGGTCAGAGACTTCTCTCCGTCTCTTCCTGTGCACCTTGTTTCCCTGTGAGTGATTTGCTTTCTCTACCTTTTTCTTCTAAGGGTCACTTTTTAGTGTTCATATGGATTGGCACATCAACTTTAGACTTACTTTTTTCTATACATCTCTAACTCTGGTTCAGTCTCTGTAGTTTTTGGTTTGTTCCTTCTCTCACTGTGCTCTCCACTCACCCCAATTTTCATCCACAGTCCTGGTCTAAGGAGCCAATGAGTGTTATATGTCTTGGGTCTGGCTGAAAGTATGGCTTCTGTGTTTCCTGAGTTTGGGTTCTAACTAGAGTCTCACATTTGGATACCTGCCTCTGCCTCTATTGGAACTGATATCCTGAATCTTTGACCCTGCTTTGAACATTTGTCCCACCTTTCCCCTGGGACTTAACTGCCTCAGATCTATTTTCTGGCCTAATCCCCTGGAATCTAGATTACTGACCCCTGTACCTAGACCTTGATATTTACCCCCTCCCCCTTCCTTTCTCCCTTTGATTCCAAGTGGTGTCTCACTCCTGGTTTTTCTAGTCTGGCCAATTTTTTCACCGTCTAAACTTTGGTTTCTTCTCTTTCTCTCTTGCCTCTTTTCTGTTTGTGAGCTACTGCCATTAACCTCAGATGACCCTGAAAGTGCCAAGAAGTAATTCTCTCTTTCTAGACCTGGGAGAGCAGGAGGCACCAACATGGGAGTCCACGTCAGCCACAACAAAGACTGAAAGGTTGGGCACAAGTAGCCCAAGAGCCAGGACATCTATATAAGGCTCTTGGTCAAGCTGTATAGGTCTGTGACCTTAGGAACCAACTCTATCTTCAACCAAGTGGTGCTGAAGAGGTTATTCATAAGTAGCACCAACCAGTTGCCTCTGTTTCTTTCCCTAATGATCTGAAGGATAAAGCTTCCTGGCCAGGAGGGCAAAACCGCTGTGGTTATAGGGATGATAATCTATGACATGCACTTACAGGAGGTGCCCAAACTGTAGGTATGTGCACTAAGTGTGAGCAACCATGGGAGCTGACTCCTCAAGGCCAGGGGCAAGATCCTCACCTTGGACCAGCTGGCTCTGAACTCCCTCAGAGGCTGTGGCACCATCTTGCTCTCTGGTACTCGAGGGCCACAAGGTGTATAGGTTTTGGGGCAAGGGCCAGGGAACACCGAGCGTGAACCAGTGTGCGCTCTGTGGGCCAGGAGCTCCAGTGTGCCACAGGTACAGATTAGCCATGCTACAAAGACTAACCCAGATCCTGACTTCTTTTTTTTTTTTTTTATCCTCACCCGAGGACACCCTTCCATTTTTTGTACAGATAGAGTGGGAGGGAGAGAGAGAGAGAGAGAAACATCGA